TGATATTTTCGACTCCATATAACACATATATCATTTCATGGAACTCTATTATTAATGATTCCGTTCCGAACTTTTCAAAAATATCTATGCCTGATAGTTCTGATAGCCTTCCGTTCATTGTAATGTCACTTATTTAATTATCAGGTTTCACACTCTAATTTCTGCAAGACGCAGGGCCTTTTGCTCTTTTCATCCAATGAAGGCAGAGTTGTAATATATTCTGTTAGCGATCTTGATAAGGTGCATTTAACACTCGATACCCACCAATCTGGCATAAATTATGCTTCATTTTCCGGCTGTTTCGAGGTTTGCTTTATTTTGCTTATTCTTTAGATTCTTACATGTTCAGAAAATGGTATTTTGTCTTTTTGGGATCTTCGTTCTAAGCCTTCAAAGCCAAGCCAAACACTTGATTCTTCGAATGAACCAAAGCTTAGCAGACCTCGCCTCGGAAAATGGCTTACTTTTGCTGTGACACAGCCATTAGATCAGAGTTGGGTTCTGATTGGCGGGGGTCCCCGTATGTCTCTTTGGAACAGAAAGATTTCTGCTCCTACAGTAATTTACAAGAATGAGGGCAGTATGTTCCACTTAATTTTATTATTTACTTAAATTATCCAAAAGCAATCGTATAGAGACTTGCTTTCTAATGGGAAATATATTATAGTGTATTTCGTTATATTTCAGATGAAGATTCTTGGTACCCTCAGTATGGCATATTTTTATCTGAGCAGAGCAACCCCCGAATTTTGGCTGGCGGAAATTCTAGCTATCTATATTCATGGGACCTGGGTGGCTCCCTTCTCTCCGCGACTTGCTTTAGTGACCCTCCAGCTCACCGTCTCTGCCATTTGTTGCATACTTCTCCAGTCTGTTTCACTGGATTTCGGGAAAACTCTCCTGTCTTATTTACCATTGGTGCTGGCCCCAGTGTTCATATAACATCACTTTTGGGATACCGTATGGCTGTAACGCATTTATTGTAGCTATTGGGCTCTGGAATATTTTGGCAAAATTTTCATTTTTTTTTACAAATAAACTTTACTACCCACTTTATAGTTCTTGATATTAATAATGTCGATTATGTATCTTGATGTTCGCATCCTTTTGCATAATAATATGGAGTTTGGTCTTCATTAAAAAAAATTTACTTGGTATCTTCTTTATTCCTGATCTTGAGCTTAATTTAAATAACCTTGATTCTCAGTTTGGATTTACATATTTTGTTCA